GAAGGGCCGTTGATTTTCGCTTGCCGCATTGAAAGAATTGAGTGCGGCGAGGGAAATAGTCCCCAATGTAGTTAGAATTATGTTGGCGGACTGAGGTCTGCCGCAGGCTTTCTAACACCGCGATTTCCCACACTGTATCTCCCCTCCTCCACCCCACCTCCTGCCATTGTTTATTTCACACCGTGTTATTTTGGTGAGTAAAAACCATCCAACACCCACCCATTTCCTTTTCCCATGTATCCATGGAGAGTCCTTTGTTTCTCTAGTGAGAAGAAGCAACCCCACTACCCACAAGATTGCAGGCGCGTGCGTTCGCCCCCGTTGAAGGTCTAGCTTAGCGATGGTGGAACAAAGAAAACTTATGCAGTGGGTTAATCTAGACAATATAAATTAAAAAATGTCAAATCTGACACTGTAGATAGTTTGCATTGTTTTTGAACTGCCAAAAAGCTGGGAAACGCCTTTTCTCTCGGACGGAATTCTGCCTTTTATGTAAGTCTACCTTTATGCTGGCAGAATAAAGGTCCGATCATAAACTGCAACAGTGAGACCCACATTGCTGTCCACATCCTATTGACCACTATACAACGGTTTGATCGTCGCAAAAGCGATGTCCACTGTGATCCAAAAGCCTGGCTGGTCCAGTGACGGTGAGTGATGTATCACCTAGCGTATTCTCTCCTTCATCCAAATCCCATACCAAGACAGAGTCAAAAAAACCAGAGGCGGGCTTGACTGAGAGGGTTAACTATCCCGCCTGCGCTTGGCACACACGCCTGGTCTACGTACTTTAAACCAGGTTTTTAAAAAAAGGCAAAGAGCCAGATTCAGGCTAAGTGGGGTTGCCATAGAGGCTACCTTCAGAAGGAGACATTCTAAGTAATGAAAGGGCCCTTTGGGCCTTAAATATACAATTTATTTATTTATTTATAACCTGACTCTCCGCCCCGAGGGAAGGACTGTGTTATCCAGCCTTCAATTAGCATGTTATAGTAGTTTATAATGAAGAATATCCGTTAGGTGGCATCAACCTCACTCTCTCTCTCTTCCCTCTTCCGGTGCTTGTCTATGCTCTCCTATCTGTTCATCAGAAGTCTCCTGTTTCCGAAATGTTCGTTTTGTTCAGCCATTGCTTTCAGCAACCTCCATGGACCTGTTTCAGTCTTCATGAGTTTTAAGCTCAAAGTAGATTGTGTAAGCTTGTCGATACGAGCAAAATGCAAGTCACGGGGAGTTATTGAAAACAGGAAGTAGACGCGGTCACTGGGACAAGAACTTTATTTGTCTGACGTAAAGATAATCTAAAATAGATGGAGGGGGGAAATAGCTGCTCGATCTCAAAAAACCAACTGGTTGATCATAGTCTAATGACCAGCGCATATGGCAAACAAACCACAAGTGACTACTTCGGTAGATTTTGTTGCCAAGACTCGCTAATTGATTCATATGTACAGCAAGGTACTAATACCTGATTGGACAGCACCTCGATTGGTGTCGGGAGCAGTGATTATCCTGCAGACTGATCTGACAGGCAGGTAGATCGTCAAGGCGGTAAAGGTAACGATGTTAAGCGTTTGCCAGATTTTACTGGGTTGCAGTTCACACGCAAAGTTTAATAAATCACTGCTATTTGGCTTGTAATTGACAGGGTACCGTACATTTGTTTACTCGAACGCGTTGCGTCCGCTGTCCTGATTGACACCATCCTTGCCACGCTATGTGCGGACAATTAAACAGCTACCGCGTCCAGTAGTCGCACGCGTTTAAGTCAACTACTATGCAGGCCGTT